AAAAAAAAAAAAAAAAAAAAAAAAAAAAAAAAAAAAAAAAAAAAAAAAAAAAAAAAAAAAAAAAAAATGTATATATATATATTTTTTTTTTTTTTTGTGCTCAGGCTGGTGCGTGTGGCCAATTAAAATTTTTAACATTAACAGATTTATTTCGATTGGCTTATGAATTAGGTCTATGGGATTTTGCCCTTAAGGTAGCCATGGCTTATAGAGTTGGCTGCTTACGTATACCTAAGGGAGCTAATAATAATAATAATAATAATAATAATAATAATAATAATAATAATAATAGTAATAATGGTGGTAGTAGTAGCAGCAGCGGAGGAGGAGGAGGGGCAGGAGGAGGAGGAGGAGCAGGAGGAGGGATTCTTGGTGCAGGGAAAGTTGCTATCAGGAGTAGTAGTACTTTGTTAAGGTATATGCAAACAAGGACACCGAGGCAAAAGAGCGAGAACAGCAGCAGCAACAGCAGCAGCAGCAGCAGCAGCAACAGCAGCAGTAGCAGCAACAACAGCAGCAATAGCAGTAGCAGCAGCAGCAGTAGCAGTAGTAGGAGCAGCAGCAGCAGCAGCAGTAGCAGTAGCCAAGCAACGAAATCCAGCAGTGCCGCAGCAGCCTCCAGTACTGCGACCACGAGCAGCAGCAGCAGCAGCAGCAACAACAACAACAACACAACGGACACGAAAAACATCAAAAGCAGCAGCAGCAGCAGCAGCAAGCGCAGCAACAGCCCACCACAGAAAGTGCTGCACAGCGAACGCAACGTAAAGGAGCCGCCGCAGCGGAGCTGCAAGAGGAGACACATACAAGGAGACAGCAGCAGCAGCAGCAGCAGCAGCACGAAACGGGAATATCCGTCCCAGCAGGCAGCAGGAGCTGCAGCAGCAGCAACAACAACACAAGCAGCAGCAGCAGCAGCAGCAGCAGCAGCAGGTGACTGCAAAGACTCAAAAAGTCTACCGGACTCGTTAGCTGTCAAATCGGCAGCCAACGTACCCAACTAGCTAGCTAGCTAGCTAGCTAGCTAGCTAGCTAGCTAGCTGGCTATTTAGCTGGCTAGCTAGCCAGCTATCTAGTTAGCTAGCTAGTTGGGTAGCTAGCGAGCTAGCTAGCTAGCCAAGTACAGATAGCTGCCCAGCTAGCTGGCGAAGTATCTGGCCGGATGGACAGCTAGCTGGCTAGCTAGCTAGCTAGCTAGCAACCTAGCTAGCTAGCTAGGTAGCTCTCCATCCGTTCGCTAGCTAATTGGGCCTCTGCAGGCCCGTCACGCCTCCTTATACAGCTAGCCAAGAGAGCTAGCTGGCCTCACACCCCATGCTGCGCAGCAGCAGCAACAGCAGCAGCAGCAGCAGCAGCAGCACCAAATGGTGCAGCTGCAGCCGAAGGTCTTCCGTACATGATGGTATAGAGTCTTTTTGGGTGTGGGACTTGCAGCAGCAGCAGCAGCAGCAGCAGCAGCAGCACATCAACACAGCAGCAGCAACACAGCAACAGCAACACAGTAGCAGCATAAGCAGCAGAAGAAGCAGCAGGAGAAGCAGCAGGAGAAGCAGCAGCAGCAGCAGCAACGGGAAGGCTGCTGCTGCATTTTTGCGACTTTGTGCACTTTGTTCTGGGGGATGAATTGCAGCAGCAGCAGCAGCTGCTGCTGCTGCTGCTGCTGCTGCAGTCGCTGCAGTAACAGCAACACAGCAGCAGTTACTGCAGTCGCTGCAGCAACGGCAAGACAGTAGCAGCAACACAGCAGCAGCAGCTGCTGCAGTAGCTGCAGAACGAGCGACATAGCAGCAGCTGCTGCTGCAGTAGCTGCAGTACCAGCAACGCAGCAGCAGCAACATCTGCAGTCGCTGCAATAGCAGCAACACAGCAGCAGCAGCAGCAACACAGCAGCAGCAGCAGCAGCAACACAGCAGCAGCAGCAGGCTGCAACAGGAGCTGCAGCAGGAGCATTTCTTCCCCTGTTGCTCTTCCCCTGTTGCTTTGTAGTATTGTTGTTTCTTAATTAATTAATTAATTTATTTATTTATTTAATTAATTAATTTAATTAATTAATTAATTTAATTAATTAGTTAATTAATTAATTAATCAATTAATTTTCTTTTTATTAATTAAATTTCTTTTTCTTTATATAATTTTTATTTGTTTAATTAATTATTAATTATTATTCAGGTGTATCTGCATATACACCCCATGAGGTGTATATATAGCTGTACTTATTACGGTGTATGTATACTTTCCTGCTGCTGCTGCTGCTGCTGCTGCTGCGTTACCTTCATTTGTGTATGTAGACCAGCTAATACGGCGTGCATGCAGCACCACACTACCCCCTGCATGCACGCTGCTGCATCTGCTGCTGTCTGAATTTGTATACAACAGGGGGGCACTCCTCTGTTGCTGCTGCTGCTGCCAACGTGTACGTGCAGCAGCAGCAGCAGCAGTAGCTAAATGGAGAGGCTGCTGTTGCTGCTGCACCTCTGCTGCAATATTGCATGCATGCACTGTATAATATGACAGACAGTTTTCGTTGAAATTCCGTGGGGGCTGCAGCAGCAACAGCAGCAGCTGCTGCAGCAACTGCAGCAGCAGCAGCAACAACAGCCGCTCGTTTGTTGGTGCAGCCCCACACATTAATAGCGGTGCTGCTCCCCGCCTACAGAAGAAGCAACTGCTGCAACAGCAGCAGCAGCAGCAGTTGCAAAAGAACCATAGGCAGAAATCAAGTTGCTGCTGCAGCAACAGCAACAGCAGCAGCTGCTGCTGCTGCAGCAACAGCAACAGCAGCAACTGCTGCTCACCCTTTGTTCCACATTTTGTTACCACTTCCCTTGGGGTTCTCATCCTGCAGCAGCAACGAACGCAGCAGCAGCAGCAGCAGCAACCTGTACAACTGTAGCTGCTGCAGTGCAATGCAGCAGCTGCTGCTGTCTGTACCTGCTGCTGCTATACTGCAGCAGCAGCAACACACACCTTCCAGTCATCCCACGCCCTCGCCTCTAATTCTTCCACCTCCTTCGCCTGCAGCAGCAGCAGCAGCAACCAGATAGCAGCAGCAGCAACCATACAGTAGCAGCAGCAGACATGCAGCAGCAGCAGCAACAACAACCATGCAGTAGCAGCAGCAATCATCATCAGCAGCAACAGCATTAACAGCACAAGAAGCAACATTATTAACACCAGCAGCAGCAACAACAGCAACAGCAACAGCAGCAGCAGCAGCAGCAGCAGATGAAGCAGCAGCAGCAGCAGCAGCAGCAGTAGTAGCACAGCAGATGGAGCAGCAACGGCTGCAGCAGCAGTAACAGCACCAGCAGCAACAGCAAGATTAGACAAAACAAACCTACAAAAGTTGCAGCCCAAGGACGCGGTGGATCCACACGAGGCTCACTAGGCTTCGCTGCAGCTGCGCACACCAAACCCTAAACCCATTACCCTAAACCCTAAACCCTAAACCTCAAACCCTAAACCCTAAACCCTAATTGCGTGCTGAGACCTACAGCCACGAGATTGGGCCTGCTGCTCGTTCGCCATGTGTCTCATCAACATTGGGACCTCCTGAGTAAGACAAACCCTAAACCCTAAACCCTAAACCCTAAACCCTAAACCCTAAACCCTAAACCCTAGACGGTTCAAAACCCTATGCAGATATTCCTTCTACTTGAAGGAGACGCAAACCCTAAACCCTAAACCCTAAACCCTAAGCCCTCTTAGAACTCACCCGACGGATGAAGTCAAGCTGCTTAAAACTGTCTTTGCTGCACCTGCAGCAGCAGCAGCAGCAGCAGCAGCAGCAGATCCAGATGTGCAACAGTACATAACAGCAGCAATGCAGCAGCGATAGCAACAGCAGCAGCATTAGTAGCGGCAGCAGGAGAAGCACCAACAGCAGCAACGATGGAGGCAACACAGATGGAACAGCAGCAGCAGCAGCAACAGCAACAACAGCAGCAGCAGCAGCAGCAAGAAAAAAGATGGCCTACAGCTGCAGCAGCAGCAGCGACAACTTTCTTTCCTCATCTAAACTCCACTTCTCCCCTGAAGTCTTCTGCGACAGCATTGCCTGCAGCAGCAGCAGCAGCAGCAGCAGCAGGAATGAGTATCTAGGGTGTACGTAGGTAAGTAGTGTTTTGCATTTCCTGCTGCAGCCAATAAACGCTGCTGCTGTTGGTGCTGCTTTGTTGCTGCTGCTGTTGCTGTTGCTGTTGCTGCTGCTGCTGCTGTTGCTGCTGCTGCTGCTGTTGCTGTTACCTTGATAGAGGCATTGAGCTCTCTCTCTGCTCGTGCTTCCTCTAACAGCTTCGTCCTGCAGCAGCAGCAGCAGCAGCAGCAGGCGTATCGTCAACAGCAGCAGCAGTAGCCTCAGCAGCACCCTCTACAGCAGCAGCAGCATTATCTGCCACAGCAGAAGCATCAGCAGGAGCAACACCAGCAACAGGAGCAGCAGCAGGAGCAGCAGCAGCAGGAGCATACCTTCTTGCTGCAGGGTCCTGTATAATATTGTAGGGTTTATGATTAGGGTTTGGCTGTGCAAATAGATCGAGGGTTTGTTCTAATTGTTTTATTTCTTCTTTATTTAATAATTCTGCACACTCTAATCCATGTAAATACTCCAATAAATATAACTGCAGCAGCAGCAGCAGCAACAGCAACAGCAGCAGCAACAGCAACACCAACAGCAGCAGCACATTAAGCTCAGCAGATTGATATAAATATTACCAAAGAAAAAATCACAAAAATTCATCATAAATACATCAAATGAACAACTTCTAGGGTTTAGGGTTTAGGGTTTAGGGTTTTCTAGGGTTTAGGGTTTAGGGTTTAGGGTTTACCTGTGCCTCACGGAGGTTTGTTGGTCTCTCTTGTATTTGTCCAGGTCTCTCCAATGTCATCACACCCAAACAATATGGCAATAATAAATACCTAAAGCATAAACCCTAAACCCTAAACCCTAAACCCTAAACCCTAAACCCTAGAAACCCTAGAAACCCTAGATACACTAGAAACCCTAGAAACCCTAAAATCCATAAAACCTTTGAAACCCTAAACCCAAAATACTGCAAGAACAAGTCTACATGAAGCAGCAGCAGCAGCAGCAGCAGCAGCCTAGAGCAGCACAATTTAGGGTTTATGTTTACATGAAAGTATTAAGGGTTTAGGGTTTAGGGTTTTTAAGGGTTTAGGGTTTAGGGTTTAGGGTTTACCTGAGTACAGATGTAGAAATATCATCTGCAGGTTCATTAGGAGAAATAAGTCTGAGGTGTCTGTACACCTTGTGCAGCAGCAGCAAACCATTATATAGATCTAGACACCAGGAATCATTTAAGTCCTCATTGTTGTTGCTGCTGCTGTTGCTGCTGCTGCTGCTGCTGTTGCTGCTGCTGCTGCTGGAGTTTGAAACGGCTACAGAGTCAAGAGAGACGCCAGTCTCGTCTTGTAGCTGCTGCAGTAGATCGTGTGGCAGCTGAAACCTGTTGCTGCTGCTGCTGCTGCTGCTGCTGCTGCTGCTGCTGCTGCTGCAGTCCTCATCATAAGTAAGAGTTGTATGTCTTTGTAAGAATGTCTTTAGACATAAATCAAAAAGAACACCAAAGACATCACCACCCTCTGCTTCTGTCATTCTGCTGCTGCTGCTGCTGCTGCTGCTGCTGCTGCTGCTGTAGCTGCTGCTGTTGCTGCTGCTGTTGTTGCTGATGTTACTGTTGTTACTACTGTTGCTTTTGTTGTTGCTGCTGCTGCTATTGCTGCTGTTGCTCTTGCTTCTGTGACTGTTACTGTTGTTGCTGTTACTATTGTTGCTGTTGCTGCTGCTGCTGCTGTTGCTGCTAGTGCTGCTGCTGTTGCTGCTGTTGGTGCTGTTCCCGCTGCTGTGGAGGTATTATATCCCGTATAACTACTGGCAAGAAGACAACAGCAACAGATGCAGCGCCGCTTATGCTGCTTCTGCTGCTGCTATTGTTGCTGCTGTTGCTGCTATTGCTGCAGCCTGTGCTGCTGCTTCTGCTGATCGCTGGTAGGATGCTTCTGCTGCTCCTGGTAGGTACGCAGCAGCAGCAGCAGCAAATAGGAAAGAGTAGACAAGGTTTAATATATGTTGTAATTGCTGCAGGAAGAAGCCCCCTCTGTCGCTCCCGCTGCTGCTGCTGCTGCTGCTGCCGACACGCCCGCCAGTAAGGAGATTTCGGGTGTACATACACCTGGTTGCTGCAGCAGCAGAGAAACAGGATGTATAAGGGAGTATTTGCTGCTGCTGTTGTTGCATAACAAATAGATGTATAAAATTAAGAGGAAGTTTTAGTTACTGGCAGTGTAGCATTGGGGCTGTGCCGGTGCTGCTACTGCAGCCGCAGCAGCAGCAGCAGCAGCAGCAGGAGCTGCTGCTGCTGCTGCTGTTGGCGCCTCCCACACAGCAGTCCCTTTTGCGTTGCTGCAGCTAAATGTCTTGACAGTTGTTTTGATTTTCGGGTGTATGTACACCTCGTATTGCGTCTTATAAGGGTATTGGTTTTGTTTAGCAGCAGCAAGTGCCTGCAGCAGCAGCAGCTGCTGCTGTTGCATGTCCGGCAGCAGCAGCAGCAGGAGCCTACAGCAGAGTTAGATAAAGGAGGCGTTGTTGTTGGTGTCGTAAATATAAATAAGAGCAGCAGATTAGCAGCATCTGCAGCATTTGCTGCTGTTGCTGGGGTTGTCGTTTGTGCCTTTTTATTGCTGCAGCAGCAGCAGCTGCTGCTGCTGTTGTTGCTGCTGCTGCTGCTGCTGCTCGTGCTGCTGTAGCAGGAGTATAAAGAGGGGAATTATTGGATATTTCTTGAGGAATTAAATGAAATAAAAAATAATTTATTTGATGAATTTCTTCATAAATTAGCAGCAGACGTCGGTGCAGCATCAGCAGCAGCAGCAGCAGCAGCATCAGCAGCAGGAGGAGGAGCAGGAATACAATAATATATAATAAATAAAAAAAGATAAGATAGTGTTATAAGTATTTAAAATACGTATTTTTTGATGAATAATATAGATAATAAATAAAAAAAAGATAATAATAAATAAATAAAAAAAAAAAAATAAATAAAGAAAATGGTAGTAACAAATCGTCTAACTCGTCAATTTTTTGCTAGATCGGATAGAGTTAAGGCGGTGTCTGTACACCCGGATTTACCATTAGTTGCATCTGCATTATATGATGGTAGATTAAAATTAAGTAATTATAATTCATTAGAAGTATTAGTAGATATAGAAGTATCTATTCTTCCCTTACGTTGTGTATCTTTTATATATAATAAAGGATGGATTGCATGCGCAGGAGATGATTGTCATATATATTGTTACTCAATTAATACACAAGAAAAATTATTCTTTATTAAGGATGCACATAAAGATTATATTCGTTCTCTTTCTGTACATCCTAATCATAAACCATTAGCTATTACATCTAGTGATGATATGACGGTTAGTTCTATTATTCAATACTTTTTCTTTTTTTTTTTGTGGGGGGGGTCTAGGGTTTAGGGTTTAGGGTTTACAGGGTTTATAGGGTTTATTGGGTTTATAGGGTTTATAGGGTTTATAGGGTTTATAGGGTTTATTTTCATCATATATATGTATATGTATATGCATATGTATATGTATATGTATATTCATCTATTTTTTGGGTTTTGTTTGTGTCTTATTATTAATCTTTAATACAGAAAAAATCAGGGAGAAAAAAAAAAAAAAAAAATTAGGGTTTAGGGTTTAGGGTTTAGGGTTTAGGGTTTAGGGTTTAGGGTTTGTGTGCAGATAAAGTTATGGGATTTAGATGATGGTTGGGCTCGTCTTTGTTCTTTTGAAGGACATTCACATTATGTTATGCAGGCTGTTTGGAGTCCAAGAGATTCATCTATATTTGCCTCATGTTCATTAGATAGGTATATATATATATGTATATATAAACCCTAATTAACCCTATAAACCCTAATTATTATTTATATCCTAACTAAACCCTAAGCTCATCAACAGACACACATATATATATATAGATGTTGCTGCTGCATATGTTGATATATTAATAACCAGTCTGGGGGAATAACAGGGATTTATTTCCTCTAGGGTTTAGGGTTTAGGGTTTAGGGTTTAGGGTTTGGGGTTTATTTCAGGTCAATTAAGGTGTGGGGTATTGGATCGTATGGGGCGGGATCGAAGGGATCGTCGGGATCGTCTGGGATCGTCTCCAGTCCTCATTTTACTCTTTTAGGTCATGAGAGGGGTGTTAATGCTATTGCATACTCGAACTCGTAAACCCTAAACCCTAATTCCTAAACCCTAATCCCTAAACAGGACGTGTTAACTTTGTCAGACACACGCACTGCAAACACGATTCTTAGGGTTCCTATCCTCTAGGGTTTAGGGTTTAGGGTTTAGGGTTTGTTGGTGCTGCAGGGGAGAGAGACCTTACCTAGTATCTGGTGCAGATGATGCAACTGTTCGTGTTTGGGACTATCAGACAAAACAGTGTATACAGGTACAAACCCTAAACCCTAAACCCTAATCGATAAACCCTAAACCCTAATTTTTTTCTTTTTTATTTGTTAGGTATTGTTATTTTTGTATAGAGGGTTTAGCGAGTAAACACCCTTCCTTTTGAATAATTAAAAGCAATCATCATCTTCAGCCGACATTTTATCTATTTTTAGGGTTTAGGATTTAGGGTTTAGGGTTTAGGGTTTAGGGTTTACGATTTTTTTTCAATTTTTTTTCAATTTTTTTTTTTTTCTTTTTTTTTTTGCAGGTATTAACAGGACATAATGCAAATGTTTGTGCAGTATTATTTCCTGTAGGAGGTTTGCATGCATTTCCTGTATTAGTATCTGGTGGTGAGGATGGTAGAGTAATTGTATATAGAGCAAATACATTTAAAAAAGAAGAAAGTATAGATTTAGGGTTACAAAGGGTTTGGGGTTTTGCTGCTAAACAACCAAACCCTAATTCTAATGATCAAGATACAGGAGCACTTATTCTTGCTGTTGCTACGGATTCAGGGACACTTGTTATGAAGGTAAGAATCATATCTATGCAGCAACTGCAGCAGCAACTCCAGCAGCAACTGCAGCAGCAACAGCAGCAAGTGCAGCAGCAACTGCAGCAAGTGCAGCAGCAACAGCAGTAACAGAAACACGAAAGCAGCAACAACAGCATATTAACACCAACAGCAGCAGGAACAGCAACAGGTCTATTATATATTGTGTATACTGTTACTGCTGCTGCTCCTGCTGTTGCTGCTCCTGCTGCTGCTGCTGCTGCTGCTGCAGATGGGTAGAGAAGGACCAGTAGTGTCTTGTCATGGAGGAAAAGCTGTTGCTGCTCGAGGGTTTGATTTATTACAATTTAATTTAAAACAAATAGATCCATCAACAGCAGAAGGAGATAAAGTTATTTGTCCTCCTAAAGAAATAGGAACATCAGGTATAAACCCTAAACCCTAAACCCTAAACCCTACCTAAACCCTAAACCCTAATTTACCATAAACCCTAATATACTCTAATATAATATACTCCTGCATACCCTAATATACCTTAGATTAAGTTATTTGTCCTCCTAAAGAAATAGGAACATCAGGTATAAACCCTAAACCCTAAACCCTACCTAAACCCTAATCCCTAGCTAAACCCTAAAGTCTAGCTAAACCCTAAACCCTAATATACTCTAGTCTACTAGTCTACTCTAATATACCCTAGATAAAGTTATTTGTCCTCCTAAGGAAATAGGAACATCCGGTATAAACCCTAAACCCTAGCTAAACCCTAAACCCTAATTCACCTTAATTAGCCCAAAACCCTTAATATATGTATATATAAACATACAAATAGCACAAACAGATGGATATGTTGTATACACACCAAACCCTAAAACCCTAGCAGTTGTACTTGTCTACTTCCTCTATCTTTGCCCTACCTCTAGGGTTTAGGGTTTAGGGTTTAGGGTTTAGGGTTTGTGATTATTCAGATATTTTTCCTCAAAGTATTTCTCATCATCCTAATGGAAGATTTATTGCTGTTGTTGGTGATG